GCATCTATCCCAAAATGTACAGAATTTGACCCAGAAGGACATCATTTTGACTCACACGATTGCGCGAAATTTTACTAAGTTAACGAGCCTTCGTCCATTGAAAAAAAATATTCGGTTTAAAGAATTATATTAAAAGCTATATATATATATATATATTACTTTATAAAATAAAAATCGTGAAGGGTAATTGAAATAACATTACTAGTGATAGCTCTTATAATTTTTTTGACATGGAGGGAGAATGCAACATGTGTTAATTTTGAAGAGCACCTGAAAAGATATTAATGACGCTCGAAAGTTCTGCATCACGAAAAGTTTTGCGAAAAAATTCTAGAACCTCTAATATCGATTTATGCCCTGGTTTCTATGCGCAGTTTAGAGCTGATAACCTAGCGAATTTTAAAAAATATATGTTTATTACCATTTTAGAAAAATTAAGAGATTTACGTGGACTTTTTTAATTAGTGAAATTTTGACATTAAATATTTTGTTTTTCAAGGCAAATCCTGAAAAAATCCCATTAATAAAAAAATGTTCTTTTCTCCTCTATGAAAACCAATTTCAGCGTTAACCATCGAGACATAAACTTTCAAATATCAATGTTACACATGTAAAAAATAGTTTTCAAGATTCGGAAGCTTGTCAACAACCCTGATTTAGGTTTCATAGTGGAGAAGTGAACTTTTTGTTAATGGGATTTTTTCAGGATTTGCCTTGAAAACAAAATATTTAATGTCAAAATTCCACTAATTAAAAAGTCCACGTAAATCTCTTAATTTTCCTAAAATGGTAATAAGCGTTATTAGAGGTGCTAGAATTTTTTTCGTAAAACTTTTGGTCAAAATAAGTTACGTCATTTGGAAAATAAATCATGTGATTTATTACTTGATTTGTTAGTATTCAGACTAGCAGTATGATAATTTTAATATTATTAGCGTTTAAAAACACCCTAAAATTAAAAGCTGGCTGGACCAGCTACTAATAAGTCTCAAGCCGACTTGGCCAGCTATCAGTATATCTCGAGCCAGCTCAGCCATCTATATGCAGAAATCACTGGCTGTGCACATATGGATCTTCAGCTTTACCAGCTCAGCCATTATTGAAATCTTCAAGCTGATGAACTGTCAAACTCACAAAGCCGACTGGCTAGCTAGCCAGCTTGCGATTACTAACTATTATTACCATTACTGTCATTGCATTCGCTTTTTATATTATATAATAACGTTAATAACATGTCATTTGAAATCACTGCTACTCAGAGGCATGCCATAAATGAATTTTTTGTGTAGTTGTTCTTTAAAAACTGTGCTTTTCTTTAAAAAAAACCTAACTGCCATTACTTTCCGTGGAACTGTATTGCCGTTTATTTTGTTCATGTGTGTGAGATGATAGCAAGTAAACGATGACAATTTCGTAAACATACGAAATATTGTAAATTTTCCCAAGGAATTTATTTCGAAAATTCCTTAATTTTTACGCGTTCTTTTATTAGACTGTCGATGTCTTTATTTTCAGCTCTATAAAGCTAAGTGACATTCCTGGCAATTAGCATTTAATTTTTCCCAAGGAATTTATTTCGAAAATGCCTTAATTTTTACGCGTTCTTTTATTAGACTGTCGATGTCTTTATTTTCGCTAGACTATTCAGCTCTATAAAGCTAAATGATGGTAAAAGAAAAAGTATCACTAGGAACTCTTAAAGCGACAATATGTTTCAATTTTAAAATGCTACCACTCAACATAAAGGCAAAATTTTCAAAATCTGACCGGTAACTTTGTTCTTTATAACAAGTTCTACAAAGTTAACGGTCAGATTTTGAAAATTTTGCCTCTATGTTGAGTAGTAGCATTTTGTGATTGAAACATATTGTCGATTTAAGAGTTCCTACACCATAGTTCCAGGATTTTTTTTCAATTTTCTTATCAATACCAATATAGCCAATTCTGACTCCTTGATAACAACCATCTTTATTAAGCAAGTAATTTCAAACTTTCGATAATAATTTTTTTACCATCAATTAGCTTCAAATGATTTGGTGTTTAAGAAACGCGCGGAACAGAAACCACAATGTGGTGTTTGTCTAAACAGTTAATGGCTTTTTTGCTTGCGTAGTGCTAAGAAAAAAGAACAGGTTCAAGTTGGTAACTTTTCTTAAACTAATAGTTTGTTTTGGTAGTAAGCGTAGAAATAATGGGGTCTCGATATTTGCTAATCTTAACTGCAAGTTTTATTTGACCATTTAATTGTAAAATTTCCATGATTAAATATTCAAATCTAACTGACTAGTTCAGCTTCAGCTCTAGAAAATCTTAAACAGCAAATTAAATCATAAATATTATGTTTTTGTCTATTCAAATCAACTGACAAGTTACTCGGTAGGCGTTGGCTATACTAGATAACCTATTAATGTTCAATAACAATAGTTTCTAGTTCATGTTGTTCTCCTGGTTGTTGCTTTGGCTTACAACATGTTCTGAAACACGCAGAACAAGCTTTCCAAATAAAATAAATTACACAAATCGCTGCTACAAGTATTCCAATTGCTAACATCAATTCATCCGAACAACAGTTAAGATGACAACATCCACAGCGACAACATCCACAGTGACAACATCCTCCACTTCCTCCTCCTCCTCTTCCTCTTCCTCCTCCTCCTTTTCTTCCCATAATATATTATTAGTCTTGTCTATCCCCCAACTTCAGGAGACAATAATAGGCGATGGTAAGTTAAAAGAAAATATATTTTGTTAGTAATATATGAAAGACTTTTTAACAGAAACTAACCGAGAAAATAGCAATGTAGGAATTATTATTATGTCGAATGTTATTAATGTCAAACTTGTGAAAAAATGGTGCTTCCAACGTTAGCTTGGGAGAAACTAGAACGTGAAAACTTACTGGGCTATTGGGCGAGGAACAGTTAAACAAGTATTATCAAGGAACTACGTAATGAATGTTCTTGTTCTGCTAGTGAAGAAGTTATGCTAGTTGGCAAGGTTGTAAGAAGGAATTACTAGTTTCTAATAAGAAAAGAGGAATTAAGAATCAAATAATCCGAGAGTAGAGAGCAATTTTGTTTGAATAGATATGAGTGGCGGGACGAGGAAGACGTTTAATAAGTATGTGCGGAGGGGATGTGAGCAAGCTAATAATTCAATAAAATTTCTAGCCAAAAAGACTGTTCTAAGCTTATTCTGAGCTCTAGGTTTGATAGGGTCTAATTGAAAGCACTGAAAATGTGGTAAAGCCGAAGAGGTATTAATAAATTTACATAGATAAAATTCGTTGATATCATTCTCTGAGAGTTGCTCAAGAATTCAAACCTGCTACGGAAGAAAAAAACTATTTTGCGGAAAATGGTAACACCAATATCACCTTTATGACAAAATATTCTTAAAATGGGTTATTATGCATTTTTGTGATCCTTGTAAATTATAAAGAATGATAGAAGCCGAATTTTGTTTCAAGAATGCTTGCAGTCATTATCGTTATCGTTATGGTATTTGTGTAATGACTCTCTATCGTTATGAGAACAGATCACTACATGTACGTATATGGTCAATGTTGTCTGGATTTGGAAGTCGATATTTTACACAAACCTGTCAAAGAAAAATTGCTGAGGATTACTTACTGAGATCTAAAGCCAAGTAGCGCAAATGCGAAAAATGGAGATATTGCAGAAAGAGAGAGCTTATGATTCCGAGGAAGAAACTATAGTGCTTGAAGTTTTGTCGAAAGCTAGGTTTAGCAAAAAAAATGAATTTATCAATCATTCTGTGATACCCACCGACTTCACTTTTTTTTACATGTTAAAAAATATTTTATATTAAAATTCTTCGTCCTGATGAAAGGCAAATATATGGTAGTTTGATAAAAGCTCAATATTGCAAGTGGGAACCCAAAGTAGAACTACAGTGCGGGTCATTTATTCACCACACAAAAAAATTAGCTTCAAATCATATCAGAGCCCTCAAAATAATTCAGAAAATACGTAAATCAATAGTTTATTGACTACTCTATAACATTACGTATTTTTTGACTGGAAAAGTTCTGATTGTTGAGTTAATAGGTCTTAAAGATTTGGCCAATTGTGGTCACTAAGTGACCCGCACTGTAGAGCAAAATTTCTATTTGATAGGTCACAAATTTCGAAATAAATACGTAACGATAATACAAGTATAATCCTTTTTGTCTTGCAAGATTTTATAATAAAGTATTAAATTGTATCTAACAAATCAAAAATTTACACGCGGAAATTAAAATCAATTGCGGTCCGCAAACAGCTTTATACACAGATTAAAGCAGGAGACGATGAAAATTTTTGAAAAGTAAAATAATTGATAGCAATGATATTACATGTATGTGTTTCACAGAATTCACAGTAGATTAAGAGAAAATATTTCGTGGCTTCCTGTCGCTATTGATTAATCTGGCTTTTTCTATAACATTATTGAGTCAATTCGCTTCATTACCGCATAACGATAGTTTGCTAAAATTTAATCACAAAATTAGTATATACCATATCCATTTAAGATTAGTGTTGGCTAAGTGGATTCCCACTTACATAACGATAATTTTTGTCAGTCATAAATGTTGATCTTTCATAATGCCAGGCAAAATTATGCATTTATATAATTTTTGGCCTTCGGCCAATCAGATACTAGATTTCTAATGACTAGACATTTTTTAGTATCTTTTATTTTGATCAATAAATTAGTTTGGGAGCCCAGTTAGAGGTCTGACGTAAATCAGGTGATTGTTATTAATAGAGAACCACACACCTGACATATCTATATGTATATAGTTATGTTGATCCAAAATAAACCTGATAATTTGGTTGACCCACCAAAAAATCTTCAGGCCCTTACTTTCGACATTAATATATACGTCTCATAATTTTATAAAAAAGGAATTTTCTAAAACTCAATTAGAAACTTTTATGAATGCTTTAAATTCAAAACTAGTTAGCCAATAGATAAAAGATTTTACCTTAATAATTTTATGAATCTTTTTGACTCAGACGTTCGGCTTTCTCCAACAATTCATCAAATCCTATAGGCACCCACTGTTTTGATTCCTCTTGCGCATACATTACATCATCCTTCATATACAAGAGCACACCGCCCACACCCTGCAGTGAGCAACCAAACCGGAACAACGGTTTCCCGGACGCGGCGTGGGTCTTGTTGACAGGCAAGAACAGGTAGTTGTGCTCTTGGGCAAAGTCCTCGATAATATCCTTATGGGATATCGTTTCTATCGTTATTGTAATGTTATCTTTTGCAAATGGAATGGTTGTCGGCTCTTCGGGAATATTGGATTTTTCTGAAGGATGTCGTAATCTTGCAGCCGAGTCCACTCCAAGTGCACTACCCTCATCTATCATGTCTAATGCTTGTATAAAGTGGGATTCGATCACGTGTGCCATTTCTGGGGGGAATTGTTCATTCCAAAAAGTACACCATTTATTAACTTCATCATAATTAGGATTATGCGTCAACCAAACATGTAATATATCGAGCCACTTTGGAAAGAATTCTGTTGCGAAAAGTTGGCCAAAATCCTCTGCCGAAAACAATCCATACCACTCCATTACCCACTTGAATGGTTTGATATCCTGTTGCTTTGGATTTATTTGTAATTCTGTTCTTAGAATCGTAGCCAGTTTCGGCAAAACAGACTTAAGCAAAAGTGATTGCATTTCCTTTTTCTTAAAAACCGTTTTCCACGGATATAAAATTTCAAAAGCGCTCGAATCGGAAGGATGCCACGCCTGCAGTGCAACAACAAATTTCTGTCGAATCAGCACATACAGCGGCTCCAATCGTTCTTGTAAAATTAGTAGCCACGGGTGCACCCAATGGTGTATCATTTCTTTATCTTTTTTCGGATTCCAGTTGTCAACTTCTTGTTCTAGTTTCGGGAAAATGAGTTGCACGAGTATGTTGTCGTAGATGAATGTGGGCAATGTTGGTGGATTCCAGTTCTCGAGAAGCTTGATGACTGGTTCATATTTTCTGGCGCTCCAGAAGTTACTATTTTTAAAATTAAAAATTAATGTGAATTTCAGCTGAATGTTGCAAAAATGTATTATTAGATAGCTCTCTTACTTTATCGCTGATCTCACTTTAGGCAACCAAATATTATACATCATACTTTCGTAAGGTGTCATTGTGGTTGAATTGCTATTAAACAAAATGATTAGCTAGTCGATTCATAAAGACAAACTTAATAAAACGCTATTACTTTAGATTTTTAGTAAATCCAAATCTATCACCATTTGAACCATAGCTGTTGTTATTATTTATAGGAACGCTTGTCTTCAGTAACCGCTGCCATTTCTTTAGCATTTCCAACCAATGCGCAGTTGTTGGATCACTTAATGGATCCCAATCGATTACACTCCTTTTTATCTAGATATTAATGTATGTGTATTAGAATCAAAAATAAATTTAAAAAATATTTTTTTCGTTACTTACTAATGGCGAGATAATGGCCACAACAGCGGAATCCAAGCCATACAAAGAATACTCTTCTTCATACTCTGTTTGGAGTTTATCGAATGCCTGATAGATATCCTGGAGTGAAGAAAAATCTTCTTGATCTTCTTCTGATGATAAGATAGATAATAGCAATCTTTCACATTCTTTCAATATACCCATTATTTCGTTGAGTCGCTTAATTTTATTAGCTTCCGAATGCACCAGTTTTTCCACCCTTATCTGTTCAGTATCGAATGATTTTATTCGTCCTTTCTGGATCCGTTGTTCTCTAATTATATGCTCCAAATCAGACTGTGACATGTCAACAATCAGTCGCAGGTTATACCGTAGCTCTGGTAGACGACCAGAGACAGCATCTTGCGCAAAAAGCGACGAAGAGATCTGACTTGTCGATGTGATTTCGCGCGCCGTTGGCCCCGTCATATCTATAATCTTCATCGGCTTTATAGAAGCACCAGAGGCATCATCCTCCTCAATTCCTGTAATGATCTCTTCCGCGGTCTTATATTCTACTTTGGGCCGTTTAGCCTTTGCTTTCCAAGCATTCTTTTTTGGTTTTGTTGCTTGCGCGGTTATCTCTGGTTGTTTCTCCTCTTCACTTTGCACTTTCTCTTGGAACCCACCATAAGCCAACCCCAGCTTCCCTGGACGCAACTTGGTCTCTATTGGATTTACTATCCCTCCTCCACGCACGCCGAGACCTTCCCCTACATTATAACCCATTTTCTGCATCAGCTTTGAACCGATTCCTTTGGTATATTGTTCAAAACTTCCAAATTCCTCATCTATGGGATCGGCGACTTTTCGTTTCACATTCGATGAATAATGTGGTTTCGACATTTTGGAAAAAGTATCTGTGTATTCTACAGTTTCAATTCTACAGTTTTATCATGTGAGGAGAAAATCTCTTGGTGATACAAAAATCTGTGAAATTAATCCATAATTGGAATAACAAATTCTTGATATCGTACAAATGTTCAAGTTCTCCTATACTCCTAAGGTACTCCCAAGGAAACATTTTCTTCAAATTTCAAGTGAAATTGCAAATAATGCCTCTAAGATACGCTAAACTCCACAACCAAAACTACAAACAGCTGTTTTTACATTACGCGCGTAAAGGCGAAAATTTCCAAGACGAACATTTCCCGCTCACAGATTCGTCAATATGGAAGAAGGAGAGGCCTTTACACGAAACTATAGAGTGGAAGAGGTGTAAGGTGAGTTGAAAATAGTCATTTCTCTGTTCTTTTTCTTGGTTCTGTTTCGATTCTTCGGTTCTCTACTCGCGATTCACTTCAAAACTGTACTTAATTTCCAATAAACTCTCAATAATACGTATTAATGAATTCAAAATTTGACTCTAGGATCTTTGCAGAAACCCGCATTTGTTCATTTTCAAAAATGGCCAACTGAGTCCAGAAGTTGTACAAGGGTTCGTTATTTAATAAAAAAAGTCTTGTGTATTTTTCAAAACTGTTGCTCTATAAGAACAACTTTTATTAATTTAGAGCTGTTGGTAATTGTTGGTTAGTTTCAGCCTTGGGTGTTTTGGCTGCTCATCCGCATTTATTGGAAAGAGTTGTGCCGAGGTGGGGATTACAAGATTGGGTTCACAGTGAAGAGCCGGGAAAAAAGACGGGAGTGTATCATTTACGAGATACGGAACGGCATCCAGGTGATTTATTAATTTTTAAGAAATACAATAAAATAAATTTAAGAATTAAAAAAATGCCCACTCTCATATCTAAATGAAATAGGTATCTTCCGCTTTCGTTTCTACCGTTTCGGACAATGGATCGAGGTAGTCGTAGATGACTACCTCCCAACAGTAAACGGTCACCTGATATACGCCCACTCGAAAAATCCAAATGAAATGTGGTGTGCGCTATTAGAAAAAGCGTACGCGAAACTTTGTGGGTGCTACGAAGCACTAGATTCCGGATCAGCTTCAGACGCGTTGGTTGATTTAACGGGAACTGTGCCTGAGACTATTGAATTAGGTCAAAATGATAATGATGGCGGAGGGATGATTCAGGAAATGGGACAAGACGCGTTTGTTTACTATATTCTTAAGGCTGCGAAAAAAGGTGCCTTGATGAGTTGCTCGATTAATGCGTTGGACGAGGAGAGACTCGAAGAGAGGCTTCTTAATGGGTTAATTATTGGTGTAAGTGTTTTTCGCGGTATGAATAGCTATTGTAAAATTGAATTTACATATGAAAACATGTATTTTAGCATTCTTATGGAATTACCCAAATACAAAAATTGCGACACAATTGGCGCGGCAAAAAAGAAGTTTTATTATTGCGTCTGCATAATCCATGGGGTGAGGTAGAATGGAATGGACCATGGTCTGATAGCTCGCCGGAATGGGCAGAAGTCTCGGAGGCTAAGCGGAAAAAAATGGGCCTAATAGTGGAAGACGACGGTGATTTTTGGATGGTAAAGAATTTATTGACTCGAGAATTTTCTATGGACAAAAATATTGATTTGTAATAGTTTTATTATTTGACTTAGGCATTCGAGGACTTTGTGGAAAATTTCTCAACGTTGGTGATATGTCGTAATCTTAACACGCCATGGTATGCGTTTGGTCCACATTGGCATAATGTTTTATTTCATGGAGTTTGGTCAGTTGAGACTGGGACAGCCGGTGGATGTATAAATAATCAAGAAACATTCTTTCAGAATCCACAGTTTGCATTTACGGTCACCAAACCAACTGTAATTATTATTGCGTTAATGCAAGAAGATCATCGTACCATAAGACTCAACAATAATCTGACTATAGGATTCGTGTGTCTAAAAGTCGAAGAAAACCGAAAGTACCGTATACATAGACCCACATATATGGTAACTAGTCAAGTGACGTATATTAATGCGCGAGAAGTCACATCAAAAGTTGAACTGGATCTTGGACGATACATTGTCATACCGTCGACATTTAATGCTGGCGAAGGGGGATCTTACTTTCTAAGAATGTTCTCGTCTCGATATATAGATGTGACCCCGCTTATGAAAGATGCACCGACAAAGAAATGGTACCACTCGTTAATGTACTGGGGTAATGCTTATTTTGTTGGAATGGCAAGAATCCAAATAATGAAAGTGCATCTAAAACGAGAACTTAGTGGATTTATAAAAATCACATTTTCAGATTTGAGGGACCGCCTTCATGAACATTACGTGTCACGCTCATTTAAGAAAGCAATAGTTGCAGATATTGGAAATGAATACGTCTTTTATATACGAGATCCGTTAACATCCGGAATCACACTCCAGCTGTACGAATCTCATACGTTCAGCAAAGCGAAATTAGTGGGTGAGATGCGAGTCGGATTTAAAAGTTATTGTCGCGAAAACAAAGAAGGTAAAATATGGGAGATTACAAAAACCTTCACGAAAATGGTTCAAGTGCCTAGATCACTTAATGTGATGACAACACAGGAAGTTGAGACTACTGAGATTACACCTAATGTTGCTAAAAATCGTGAATCTTTACTGAGCGCTTCTAATAATAGCATTATGCGAGATGATGAAACAAGTAGTAGTGTCAGCCATCACATGGCTGATACACCAAATCGTATGGTCCCTACACCACGTCGTTTTGCGCCAAAGAGCAATACGAATACTATGTTGGTGCCTCGGTCTATAGATGCTGGTATCGGCGAAATACAAATCAGAATATCATATTTTAAGGGGGTTAACGCATGATATATCGATATACGTACACCTGGCAGTTTATACAATCGATCCACCAATTATTTTTTGTGTGATTACCAAATTTGTAAAGTAATTTATTGTAAATTATTTATGTTAATTTAATTTTATTTACTGCTAATTTTGAAATTTCGTCAAGATATATATTATAGGATTGAAAATAGCGATATAAATTAACGCAATATATATCCCTATATATATACACATATATGCAAACTCTACAGAAAGACCTTTATTTATCAGGCAACACAAAAGAAATACTTTACCACCTTTCATCTAGGCACCTCATTTTGAAAATAGTAATTCATACACTTACCAATGAACCTACAAGTGTGTGTGTTGTGTTCACCAAAGTAGGTAGTACAAAAGAATATCTATAATATCGACAAATAAGATTGATTAACTTCAAACTTGTTAAAGTTAAAAATTAATATAAAAATTAAATCACTAGCCGGCTTACCATATATTTTTGCAATCCAACAATTAGGAAACAAATAGAAAAAGGAAAAGAAAAAAAAAGCGAAAAATAAAGAATGCAAAGAAATAATAATAGAATAATAATAATGAAGATGATGATAAGGGATTTCTTTTAGTATTCTATAACTTCATCGGCCTCACCCTCCTTCATCGATATATCATCATTAGATGGATGTTGCTGATCATTTTTCGAGGGATCCGCATCGCCATCATCAACATTGTCTTTTTTTTTGGCATCATCTTTTTCATCGTTTTTTGTCCGATCACTTGTCGTTGTTTCTCCCGTTGTAGTATTTGCAGTGGTAGTATCATTAGTATCTTGTGTGGTGGTGAGTTCATCTTTTGACGATGATGGATTACCTGTCGTTGTTTCATCCGTGGATTTATCATTATCAGTCGATGTACCCTTTTCTACCTCTTCAGTTACCATTGATTCGGATTCAACTTTACTCTCTGATTTTGTTGATGAAACTGTGAAAGTAGACTTTGAATCAACTACAACAACAGGCGCATCATCAATTTCCATGACACTTTCGTCGTTACTATTATTATTATTATTTTCATCCTTATTATTTTCATCCTTATTATTATTATCCTTATTATTATTATCCTTATTACTATTACTGTTCCGTTCTTCCCTTTTTACAGATACTTCATTTTCCTCATCCCCTCGATCTTTTTCTTCACTATGATCTCTACCATCGCCATCATCATCCTCCTCCTCCCTTCTTCTTGATGTATCTCTCATCTCAACATCATCACTATTAATTTCATTATTACTACTACTATTATTATAATTAAATACTTTATTATCCTGTGTTCCGCTAGACGTAGATGCCAACGCCAATTGCCGTTTCTGTTCGACAATTGTTTCCACATCTGCAGAAGACATTCTTGTGGGAAGGTAGTAGAGATGGGGTTCTGTGACGGTGCAAAGAAAGTTTGCGAGATTCTTTTTTTGGTTTGACCAACATTCTTGCTATTTATTATTTATTTTTTAATTAATGGATATTATATATAAAATTAAGTCAAGTTAATATAAATTTATGAGTGAAAATAATAAAGACAATACCAATTCACTCTGGCGTTTCTCTTCTTCTTCTTTTCGTAATTTCGCGGCTCGTTCTCGCTTCTCTTGTTCTTCTCGTTTCATTTTTTCCATTAACTCTTGTTTGTCTTTTCGCAGTTTTTCTTGCAGTTTCTGGTCAATCTGTTCTCGTTTAATCTCCTGCAAAAATATATCGGGTGATTTAAATATTGATCACCTAGAATTAGGCGTTGCATCAAAACAGTAAATCGCTTAACGCTCACTTACAGCTTCACTTTTATTCTGACTATCATTTTTGAATTTTGTCAATGTTCCCAATATCATGCCAAACATTCTCTGTCCGCGTTTTTTGAACTCGCCATCCTCTACATTTAGACGAGGACGTTTGCTCTGCGTTTAATTTCAATTATAAAATGTGATTAATTACAAAGACATTCAAGATAGCGATGCTAATAAGCCGATCAGATCGATCGATCGATCGTTGAATTAGTATGAATCAAATGACAAATTATTCACCTCCTCAAGAGACCGCTTACTGTCTTCGTTGGCTCGTCTCTTTGAATGTTGATCATCGTCATAACGAGATGAACGTCTTGCAGATGACGTTGACGGAATAACAATACTCGAAGAAACCACCGTCTGACTATCAAGTCTATGTAAATTAATTATGAACATTTGCTGTTACTATCAGACATGAGATTTAACTAAGCAAGGTTCAACGACGTTGTAAATTTTCTATTCTCTTACTTCGCTGGTGAATCATCAACAGTTTCGTCTGTTGTCTGAATAACTTCGGTGCTCATTTTCTACTTCGAGGCTCTGATTTCTACAAGAAAAAAATGCGCGCGTGGGAGGAATGAAAGATAACTAATATTTAAAATATTGTAATTAGGATATTATCTTTTTCAAGTGGTAGTAGGGTCGTCATTATCACTATCACTATCAATATCATTTTCAAGGCCAATAAAAATCATGTGCTAATAAAATACAGTGACTCATATTATACTGTAAAAATTTCGAAAAAAATGCATGCCATTCACTTCTACCACTGGTCTGACTACGACATGAGCTTATACACATCCTTTTTAGTTTTCAATGTCGAACAAAAAAGCGAAAAAGCTACCTTTTCCAACTGAAGAAATATCTTCAGAAAGTGAAGATTTCCTTGAGGAATCTGACCAAGACTTAAATGACACCGTTAAACAAAATCTTAAAATATCATTCCATGTGGATAAATATGAACTCAGCGACGACGAAGAGATGGAGGATGTAGTAGCTGAAATGAAACAAGATTCTTTGCCAAAACACTCGAATAAAATTTCTGAGGCAACAAAGGATATTTCACATTTATACAGAGCCCCTACCAATGAAGAAATTCAAGGGTTAAAGGAGACTGCTGATCTTTTTAAATCTAATATATTTAAACTTAAAGTAAGACATGTGAACATATTGACTTTTGGATGGTAATTGATATTAAATGTCATTTCTGTATGTAGATAGACGAACTTTTGTCTGAAGTTCAAATCGATTATGAGCAGGCTAAACTTTTAGAGAATAATCTGCATCAAATAAAAGAGATTTTTGATAGTATACCAGACCAGCCGGGGAGTAATGTATGTGTGCATTGTTTGAAATACCTGGTCTTTATAAACGATTCTTTTAATTAAATTTTTATATTTATAAAGGTCATGCAAATTAAGCAACAATTGAAAAAGAGGCATAAAATAGTCATTCCATTTCCGGATCCAATACCTTCTGATGACGTTCAATATAAATTCGCTTTCAAAAAGCCCACATCAATACATTTGATAGGAAGTTATCCATTGAAGACTTTAACACGTGGTCCTAAAGGCTTCAATGTCGATATTGTAGTCATGATGCCGCCGGTAGGTAACTGGTGAATTAATTGAGTTAACGAATAAAGATCAAAATAAAAATTTATTTTTTTCTCTTTATTTAGTCGATTTTTCAAGAAAAAGATTATTTGAATTATCGGTATTTTTATAAAAGAGCATATTATCTAGCAATGCTTGCGGCTTCTTTACAGGATAAAAAATACAAGATGACTTTCAGCGTTGAGTTTGATACTTGTAAAGGCGATAGAAGACGACCCATATTATTAATTAGGCCTTCTGGAAGTATGTATCATTCTTCAGCAATTAGGTATATTATTTTAAACTAAACTAATTAATATTATGTATGCTGTTATATAGACAATTTGAATGAATATTTTTCTAAAATTCCATATATAATCCGAGTTTTTCCTGGCATTCCACCCGACCTGTTTCCAATTCACCGTTTAGCCCCATCAAAAAACAATGTTCGCCCGCGCATTTTCCAAGAGAGACAGAAATTCGACAAAGAAGCATCTGATACGACGACGACTCTTATTCCCACTCCACATTACAACCTCGCAATTTTACAAGATATTTTTTTTATCTCTCATCTTTTATTCTTACATCAGCAACAAAAAGCTTGTCCTGCTTTCCATGAAGCTTGCGTATTGGCTAAAATATGGCTAAATCAACGAGGATTTGGTACAGGGGAAGATGGAAGTTGTGGATTTAATGGGTTCCTGTGGACAATGTTGATGGGTTATTTGCTTCAAGGTGGTGGACCAAAGGGAAATAAAAAATTAGCGAATGGATTTAGTTCGTATCAATTGTTTAAGGGAACTATGGATTTTATTGGTAAATAGTAATTGTTTGTGGCTTTGTTTCCTATATCAGATATTTATAATGTTTATTGATACTTAATTCAATATATTTAAGCAAATCACGATTTTGTAAATAATCCGATTTTCTTAAATAAGACTGGACTCACCGAAGAGGTATATTAAGAAATGCGACTGTTTGACGATTCACACATTTGGTTAATTTTCTTTCTAAAATATAGTTTTCTGAAAAAGCATTTACCGAAAATTATGACATCGTGTTTGTCGATATGCATTGCAAACTAAATTTATTTGGCGGGATATCTCGAGTGGCTTTTGATCAGGCACGCGTCTATAAATTACGATGCTACGACTATTTATTAATATTCTTATATGTCGACATCTACAGGTACAACATGAGGCGAAATTGGCTATGAAATATCTTAATGAAAGCCAAGATGACCATTTCGATTCGTTGTTTCTTCGTAAAGTTGATGATATTAAGCTGAGATATGATAATTTAATAAAGTAGGTTTTTACTTCAATATCAACCATTAAGCATAATATAATAACTTCTCTTAAAAAATAATATTTTTTCTCCAAAGAATATCCAATATACCGAGTAAATATTTCCTATACACAGAAGCGGCAAAGCTAGACTTTCCTGATAGATTTATTCATTTTGCAAGAGTTGCTCCTGGTTTACTAAAGAAAGGGCTCACCGACAGAATTCACTTAATAACGGTAAACCACAAAAACCTACCGAAATGGTCAATAACACAACAGCCTCCAAGTTATTCATCGGGACCTATACAGTTGTTCCTTGGAATTATTCTCAATCAGGAACAGTCCAATCGTGTCGTTGATCATGGACCATCCCCCGAGGACGAGATTGCTTCGACAAAATTTAGAAAATTATGGGGAAGTAAAGCTGAAGTCCGTCGCTTCCAAGACGGAAGTATTGTGGAATCTGTTGTATGGGAGAACGCCAAAAGTTTTGAATCAAGAAGTTTGATTGTTAGCCAAATCGTGTCGTACTTACTTAAGCATCACTTTGGGATTAGAGAAGGGATTTGCTATTGGGCAGGACAATTAAATGCATTCATTAGACCAGCTGCAAATGTACCGTCTAGTTTATTCAATCCTGAAATTGCACGTCTAGGTTTTCAACCTGTAATGGCTGCATTTAATTCACTTGTCAAACAGATTAATGGCCTTGAGGATATTCCATTAGGCGTTTCGAGCATAACAGGGGCAAGCCCCGTATTAAGATATTCTTCGGTTTTCATTCCACAGCCCGTGAATTTACATTCTTTGAAAGCTTTTTCAACAAAGATCACGCCCTACGTCGAACCTATCGATGTTATCTTACAATTTGAAAGTTCCGGTAAATGGCCAGATGATCTTGTCGCTATTCAAAAAATGAAAATAGCTCTTTATATTCGTCTAGTTGATCGTCTAAAAAAGCAATATCACGATACTTTTGCATGGGTAGTTACCGATAATAAAGACAGTATTTCTGCAAATAACAGTTATATGGATGTTCTTACCGACACTGGATATATTTTTCGATGTCGAATTCATCACGATCGAGAAAAGACACTTTTGGAACGTGGAATAAAAAACAAGAAACTGAATCAACTTCAAATCAACGCATACGATAAAGCATTGTCTTTATATAATCGCCTGTTTATAGAAAAACCAATGCATAATTTTCAAATTCATGCGCTCTGTAGCAAATACCCATCTTTATCCGTGACTAATAGACTTTTGAAAAGATTCTTCAGCGCGCATCTTCTTCTCACGCACATAGAAGAAGAATTTATTGAACTTTTGTGTGCGGCAGTTTATCTGGAACCTAGTCCTTGGAATGTTCCATCAAATGGATTCGTGGGCTTTTTTAGGGTTTTATCGTTGTTATCTCTTTGGGATTTCAGAAAAGAACCTCTTATTGTTGATTTAGGCGAGAATATGACTACTACGACCAAGAACGAAATCCAAGAACAATTTAATATCATGAGACAAAATGATTTAGAAATGCTAAACCATGCGGCGATGGTCATTGCGACTTCAGCTAATTCTCACTCATCTAGTTGGTCTATACGAAAACCATCAAGAGTGGTGGCATTTAGAATACAGGAGTTAGCAAATCTTGCATTAAATCACATGGAGAAGATTATTGAAAATGATACAGAGGAAAATCTTGAGGTGGTAATATTTCTAGATATCTAATAATTTTTGACGTATGCTTTTTATTGAAATTTTCCAATTTACTTTTAGGTATTATTTAAAACTGATATGACCATTTACGACGTTTTAATCCATCTTGATCCATCACAATGCTCGCGTTATCACCAAAACATTTCACCATATAAACAATATTTGCCTGAACTTGATCATATTATTAAAAACAGCAACAATAAGAATATACAACATAATCATGGAGATGATATTTGTTTGATCGGATTTGATTCGGTGGAACGATATCTGCACGAATTGCAGGTAAAAATTGATGATCTTGATATTTTGTAAACTATTAATAGATGTCTAGAATAGGACTGAAATAAACTTCTCTCTACGCAGGAATTATATTCTGATATCGCACTCTTTTTTCATGACCGCTTTGGCGGCGATTCGATTGGTGTATTATGGATCCCGCATAATTTTTCCCCGCGACCTTGGAAGGTCAACATTGGTTACTCAAGCGTGCTTGCGGAATATATGGTAATAAGATAAAGAAGCATTATCATCTTTGGAATTTAGTTAAAAAAAATTAGTGATCGAGAATTCTTTTCTATTTAGGATTTTGGAGAAAAGAACGATAACTTGTCCAAGCCCATGTTATCATCATCTTTAAGCAATGTTTTTCCAAATATATATGCAATTATTGCGGATATGGAAAAAATTGGTGCGGGTTTAGTTACCAACATTGAAATATTACAACCATTACTAACGATAACTAATAAAACTTGAAATGTGACATAAATATTTGAAGTATTCATTTTATAGTAAAAAATTGGACAAATCAAGATTTAAATATTTTACAAAAAGCTAAATATGTATTCTAGTTTTATTTTATACAAAAAAATGATTAATCAAACAATTACTAGAAAAAACGTAAAAATTGAAGCAAAAAAATCAAACAAGCTAAAATATAATTACATTATCAGATTTTATAATAATTTTTTAAAAATATAATTATAAAAAAGTGTTTTATATGATTAACTCTTAAAAAAAATATAATTATAATATAATATAATTATAATAGTAATTCTTATTATAGCTACAATAAATTATATTAGCTTGGATTTTCTAATGAATATAAAATTTTCTTGAAGTTTTTGCATATTGTTATAAATTGATATTTTTTATATTTTGTATATTTTTATTAAATAATTATATTTTTATATTTTATTAAATAATTAAGTTAATTATTTTTTATCATAACTCCTAAGTTGGTATGTAATTAATTATGTTATAATATTGTTATAATTTCTGGCTTAATAAATTAATCAAATATGTTATTAACAAAATAAGAAATTTTGATTTATAGTTTGGGTAATATATTTTATTTATTAATAAATAACATTAGTAAAATCTATATCATATTTAGTTTGTTGATAATATCAAGAAGCCCAATTCATATTTTTTTTGAAATCAATTCCTGTTATATCATATTGAGTAATTTTTGAAAAATATTTTAAGAAATTTATAAATTTATTTTACTAAGCAAAATACTCAACAAAAAGAAAGTAAAGATAATTAAAAATTTTGGAATTGATTAAATCTTATATTATCATATTTGGGATAAAAACCAAAAATTACTTTTGAAAAATCTCTTTTTATTTTATTTATATTTTTATTATTAATATAAATTCTTAAATAAATGCAAAAATATGAATATGATTGATATTAATTATTAATAGGAGAATAATTATTTATTATTTGTTTATTATTTATTTACTCATTTATATTTATAATAAATAATGAGAAAATTTTAATTAATAATTATTTAAATGATTATTTATCCATTTTTTATCCTATTTTCTTTATATAAGAACATTTATTTCATTTTATTTTTTCATAATTTATTTTAATTTATCATTATCCTTCTATTATTATTACTCTTCTTGATGAATATGAATTTTAAGTAAATAAAAACTATTATTATAATTAATTTTTTGATTTAATTTATTAAAATATTGGTTTAATATCACTTGAATTTTGTAATAGATATTCTCTATCATATATATAGTTTAAATTTTCTTATTCTCAATTTTATTTTAATGAAAGAGATCAAAATACTATATATATTAGTGACTTGTAGAATATTCTATATATTATTACAATTCTATCAAAGGATTTTTATTATAATACCTATATATAAGATAAGACTCTATTCTTATTATTCACTTTCAAATTTATCATTTCTTAAATCAATAATAATTATTATGACTGACTAAAACTATATAGCTAAGTAACAAAGTTTTTCAATATCTTATAATAAGCATTATAAAAATTATTTTCTTAATACTAAATTATCTAAACATATTTGTGATGAAATCTAATAAATATTATATGAATAAAGAAATTATTATTATAATTTATAAATCTATTTTTGAGATTATATTATTAATAATATATTATTTATAAATATATCTTCAATATTATATTATTGATAATATATTATTTACCTTTGATTTTGTATTACTGATAATATAAATATTATAATCTCTATAACTTTAACTCTGAGATTTTGAGAATTCTTTTTAACAATCTGAATTATTACATTCAAAAAAACACAACTGTTATCAATCTTTAAGTAATTCTATTATTAATACTTTTAGTACTTATTTATATTCAGTCTAATAGTTATAAAATATTATTAATATTTTGAATTATTATTAAGATATTGAAAGTTCTCTTTGAATATTTCTTTAAATTTTATAAATACCTTTGAGTATTTAAAAGTTAATCAAAATAGTAATAATATTATTAAGTCAAATTCCATTAAGATAAAAAGAAAAAGAAAAATAGCTAAAATTGAGTAGATTACAAAAAATATATTTAAAATATAATTGAATAAACTAATATAAACTAATAACTAAAAAAATATATATATATAAATTATTTTTTGATTACATATATATAAAATATGATTATGATAATTTTTTATATATGTATTATATTTTATTAAAATTATTATTATTATATACTAATCTACTATAAATTATCATATATATAAAAATTTTGATAATAAAATTTTCATTTTATAAAAAGTTTTTATTTTAATTAAGCAATATTTTTGTTTTATATTAAAATAAAACTAAAAATTTATTGTTTTTAGATTTTATTTCGTGAAATAAAATTTAAAAAATTATAAAAAATATATATTAAAATATAAATTTTTAGCTTTATTTAATATAAAAACAAAAAATATTTATTAATTAAAATAAAAACTTTATAAAATAAAAATTTTATTATCAAAATTTATATATATATAGTAATTTCTAGTAGATTAATATACAAGAACAACAAATAAAAAATAAAGTTAGTATTATGATATATTATATAAAGATTTATTTTATATAACTTTTATTATTTAAATTTTAATTTTTTATATAATAGTAATTATTATTCAAGATATATTATTATAAATAAGTTCCTGAATAGATATTCTTATAATATAAATATTCAATTAATTTTTATATTTTCTGTACTTTATCTATTTAATCTCATTAGATTCTATCACTTTAGAATTATTACATAATGTGTTTTCTTCTATTTATTAGATAAACTTTTACTATTATTAATAAATAGTATACTTACTTAGTATAAAATAATTTTAAAATAATACAATATTGATATTCTTTAGCAACTTTATTAATATTTAATAATATAAAATCTAAGTATATTAGTAAATATAATAAGTATAGATTAATTAATTAATATACAAATTTTATTAATAATAATTTATTGACTAACTAGATTTTTATAATGATCAATTAATAGTTTTTAAAACTTTATTTTATATTATATTTATATAATTTGAAAGTATATTAATATAATAATAAATATATTAAATATATTATTAAGAAGTTATAAAATTAGAATTAAAAAATTAAGAAATTAAAGAATTATAAAATTAAAATTAGAAATTTATAAATTATAATAATATAAATTTGTAATTATAAATTATGCTATATATTTTTATTGCTAATATATTAATTATATAATATATATTAAAAAGATATGCTTATAATATATTATCATAATTCAATTTTTTGGACTCTTTTTGATATTTATTATTAATTATGACTTATTTTTAATTATCACTATTAATTATATCTTTTATAAAATTAATTTATAATAAGTTATGTAATCTTAATAAATTTTTGTTATTTATTTAATATAAAAATAGTTCTAAAGTAATATAGTACTGATATCTTTTAGCAATTTAATTGAGTATTCAATATAGTATATAATAAATACTATTATTATTATATTATTATTATTTAGTTAATTTTTGTATATTAATAATCAAGTAATAAATATTTTTATTAAAGATATTTTATTTATTATATTGAATCTAATTAACTATAACTTGCTTTTTTTATAATATAAAAAGTATTTATAATATATTATTAAATATTATTACATATTCAAATCACATGAAAAAAATTACATAATTTTAATTTTATCCAATAAAAATAAATAATTAAATAATAAATAATAATTAATTAATTTAAAGAAATTTAAATTATTAAAAAATGTTAAATATAATAAAAGTAATTAATTATTAATAAAATAAATATACTATAGAATATTTTGCTCATAATATATAAAAATAAATTATACTTAGCTCTAGAATTTACTTATTAAATTCTATTTAATATATTGATATATCCAGTAAAATTTCACTTGTTTTCTTAGAATATCTTATAAATAATATTATTGACTTACAATTCAAAATTACAGATTCAGGAGAGCAATTAATTAAATTCAAGTTTAATAATATTATAATTCCTGAACAGAAACTATGCATAAAATATAAAGACAAAATTCTTTTGACATTCTCTATATCAATTACTATTTTAATCTGTAAATATATGATCTATCAAACATGCATTAAGGAATTTGTTGCAAATAAATCAGATTCACTTTGTCCTGATTGTGATAATTATTTCACTGATATGAAAAAGCAATTTTTATACCAAGCAAGTGGGAAAAATGGAAATCAGGTCCAGCAAAAAATCTTATGAAGATGATAAAGAAGAGAAAGAATCTGGTGTTCTGAAAAGACTCATCAAAGAATTGTCTGACAATATTCCTGAAACCTTTAAAGAGAAAGATAATGAAAATTCCAGTGATAAATCTCAACCTCATAATTTTTTATATCTCTTTAGTATGATTATTCATACTAAATCAAAAAATGATACTATGAATCAAGAAGTAATTTCGACTTTGGTAAAGCTTTAAAAAATCAATGTAAGGAACTTAAACAAACTCATAATAGTGGTGCGTCTAGTGCAATTCTCAATAGTGAGCTTCGTGATCAGATTCCTAAAAAATTACAAAGGAGACTTTTCGTAAAAGAACTGAAAAAGCCCGGAAAATTTATGTTTTTTGATGCAGTTGGTAAGGAAAAAGTAAAATCTTTACACATCATCTATCTCTAGATTAAGTTCGGACGATATTGATTATGTAATCTCAAAAGTTTTGGAAGGATCCTGATGACGATTACTGCGCCATATTACTGCGTTATCGTAACACGCTCGTGTCAGCTTTTTTATGACCACAAAAACCGATATTTATTAAAGATTGCGTAATATAGATATTCGATTGCCATTATAACAACAAAAATCAAATTCTTGTATTACAGCTATCACACTCTTCTGTCTAATCCATGGTAGCACTTTCGAACACGCCTTTTCTGTTAAGAATGAGACTATTGATGAGCTCAAGGAGATTATCAAAATGGAGAAACAGAACCGCCCTTGAAGCTGATCCCAAAGTCGACATCGCAACTGTGCTAGAGGGCGATAAACTGTCACCTGTGGATGACGCTAAAGAACACTTCGACAAGCCTGCAAAAAAGCATATTCACGTTATTGTCGAACTGCCTGCTTCATTCGGTGAGTTTGTAAGAGATTCTCATGAAGTATTACAAAACAAGTGTTAACTTCGTTGAGCCGAAAAATAAAACTGCATCCGAATAATGTTGCTCTGCTGATTATACAAATCACAGCAATAATACTATATTTTGCGACGTAGACTTTATTATTTGCAACTTTGACTAACTTAGCTTTTTTTACTTTCCAAATTCTTTATGCCAGTTCCAATTAATCAAGCATCCCCTACCTTTCACAAGATGCAATCACCGAAATTCAGTAAACTTACTCAACCAACTAGGTGGTTCGGTAAGCCGTTCAAAAATCCTGAAAAATAGGGAATTTTCCAATTCTTCTGATTCCTTTTTCCTAGTAAATGAGTTTTGATTATATCGGGTTCTTTGGGAAAATAAACTAAACAGATGGGTCATTTTCAGAAACTCCACATAGTAAAGGATAATATTAGCATAGTCAGAACCGGCCCATAAAGATGAATATTTGGAATGGCTACGCAAATACATTCCTTTAACCAATGGTCGTGTTTGGCATGATGTTGGAGGTAACAATAACTTACTAGATGTGTATAGGACCCCAGGTTACCCTTTAAAGTTCATGTTAGAACTGATGTAGTGTTGTGAATGACTATGATGTCGCAATTGATTTGATCCCAGAAAGTATTTATGCGGTTCTGGAGTTGAAAAAAAAAAGATAGAAAGGAAACATATGATGCAAGTCATTTTAGAAATGGTGGTTGCTGATTTGATTACCTCCGATAATAGGACCGTTTTTGGAATTTTATCAGACTTCATAGATGATTGGCGCATGTTCTGGTTAGAAGATGATAGGAAAATAAAGAGTTGGAAAGCACCAAGTCGAGATGTTGCAGTTCAAGTGTTAAGTGGACTCTAAGAGACAGTTCCAAAGCCAATTTGGAGAATACATCAACTATCATTCCGGCTGCCAAACGTGTCAAGTTGGATACTTTGTTACCTAATAAAATCATAGGTGAAGAAGATGATATTGCTCGGATGGAAGATGTATATGATGTTATGTCAAAGGAGGAAATCTGGCGTCATAAAATTAGAATTGCTTCAGAAATTGTCAGAAATATTCCTTCCTTTTCGTCAATGTATGCATAAACTTTGTTGGAATTGGTAATATGTAGATAATGTAAGAAGAAAAGCATGATAGATAATGGGCATCAGCACTATATTTTTAATGTATTATCAATAAATTTTTTTTACTTCAAGTTACATGTAATAAATTGCATAAATCGACCAGTATTTGCACTAATTTTTTATGCATTAACGTTAATACAAAAAAATTTTATACGTATGTAGTTGTGGACTTGCATTAATCCGTTAATCTGTTAAACTTGCTTTTCAGCCGAATATTCAGAGATCTCGATTTGCATTACTAATCACTGTGGGGTTAAGTATAAGTGTTGAACTCTTTGATCTTTATTATTATCATTTTGCAATTATGTATTAATGATTTTTCCCTCAGGATCCTAATTATCTTATGTGACCGCAAATTCCAAATTCGATTCTTGGACCATGGGTATTGCTATAATACAAGAGATTGATCAGTTAGCCTTTTTATCCACTTTTGATGAATAAAACGAATAATCAAACAAATCAAATTAATCAATGTATTTATACTTATCGTCAATAAATTGAGAGATATGATGCTTCAAACGCATGGCCGACTATTTCATCCATATGTGTTTATCAGCATCGACACAGTACAAGTCATGTCTCACTCATGATGGCTACGTATTTATTACAATGTTTAATATTTTATTTTATTCTATTTATATTTTAAGCTAGAACCAATTTTGCGATCTCTGAAAAAATAAATTTCATGCAACATCTGGAGGGTCTATGTTACTGTGAAAAATCATGCGATATTTGTGCTCACATACTCCCAACGATATCCTACAGCATGAGCTTGAAGTCCTCGACATACTAATCTGATACTTTGACTTTTGATTCCAGTTATGCGTTGTGCTTCAGCTAAGGATGGAAATTCTCAGAAAGATCCATCATCAAAATCTGCTTGATGGCACGTTTGCGACAGTGACCTCAAAGCTTAAAACGCATGGCGTGTTGGATAATTTTTCTTTTGTGTACACCATTCGAGATTGGATGCTTTATTGTTGGTACAATTATCGTCAATATGATTTACACAATCTTTGTCTTCTTCTTTTGAACAAAACGCTAATGCTACCAAATGGTGAATATAACATTGGTTGAATCGAAATATTCTTCGTATAATGATCTTTGGGTGATTGCACCATTTGTTAACTGAATTCTCCCTAGAGATGAAACTTTGAAGGGATACCGTTTAGCACTCAATACCCAGGTCTTATTCAAAATTATAGTTTATAAATTGAATAGTACCCGTGGGTATTAGAGTGTATGAACCGGGTATTATATTTGGAGTAATAGATTCTTATCTTTAAGGGTATATTGTATAGAGAATTTTATATAGCGCCTACGTAATCATGTTTTTGATAAATTTCGATATAGTGGATTAATCCATTCATATCGATATAGTAGATTTATCAATATAATGATATTTTTATATACAATATTATAAAAGAGTTTCAAAACAGAATAACAATAATATACAAACAATTTTAAATGCATAATATCTTTAAAAAAAGCCACGGAGGAGGGAAATTATGCTAATATTTGGAACCATATCGAAAAAATAAATAATTACGTACTACGTACAGTAATGAGAGATTTTGTGTTATTATAACGAGATGTTATCTTAAAGAATGTTAATATAATATTTATCGTTATTAGTTTAATCAACAATAAATCAAATTTGACGATATTAATATTATTTATCCCGAATTTGTTGATGGTTTGCTAATTAGTGCATTATTTTTTAAATACATATCCGAAAATTAATCATTTCTACTTTAAAAAGAGCCCGGACACTACTCAAGCTCGAATAAATTTAGATAATGCAAATATCCGGGTCTGAATCATTAGGTGATTATTTTTGGGGATACTATATGCAGTGCTGAACGGTAATTTTAGTACTATTGTGACTTCCATTACATTGCTGGAAAAATGATCGTTCATATTGGAAGGTCTGAAAAGAATCTCCCATTTAAGCAAACACTTTCGCATATTTTCAATTGCTCAACAAAAAAACTTTTGAAGCACGACATTCATCAATAGTTAAATTGAACCTATTTGAGTTCAGGTATACAAATATATCTTTCCAAGTCAACTGATTAATACGAACTCGTTTCTCCATTGCATCTTGTTTGAATATATTCATTAAATTTTGAGATGCTGTTAATATCTAATCGGAAGTATTTTCTGCAGAACTTTTTGACATAACTCCTCGTGGATAAATTTGACCTTTATAAGACCTTTGCATTTCAATGGTGATATCTCAAAAGAGTCGAAAGTCCTGCAGATTTGGCACCATGATATCTGTAGGTCCAAACAGAATAATATAGATGTTTGGCATTTCTTGAAGACATCTCTTGACAGTTTTCCATGATACATTCGTACTTATATCCCTACTTCATCAATTTCATGATCATGCTTATATATCAATTGAATTTTGTCTAATATCAAAATCGTTGGAATTTGTTGGCGCTGTCCTACCATTCAATCCAACTTATACCGATAATCCTCTTCCATAACTCTCCAAACGTCTCCCAACTGCAATTCACTTCCACAGCCGATCCCCAAAGCATTGAAACTCTTATCACTCTGTGCTTCGAATATTCTGAAGAGCTAACCAAGTGATACTTTGTAAGTTGGCCGTTGATGTTTTGCCAGAGTAGGGAGGAACCTAGATAAGCAAAATAATTTTCTTGATAATATCTTTGATTAAGGATGATGTTTTTATCTATGGCTTAGGGATAGGAATCGATTCTCTAGAATCGATTCATTTAGAATCGATTAATTTGTAGAATCGATCAATATTGAGAATTGATTAAAATTTTGACGAAATAACGATATCAATAATGCATACGTAATAAATCGTGTAAATAATTGGAAAATCATGATTTTCACTTGTGAATGTTACAAAATACCGTCAAAATCCTTTACAACGGCGCTGTATACATCGGATTCGGCTTATACCATATTGATATCCCGATTTTTACAGTTTTTAACTATTTAAAAGCTCCCTACATACTGAAGTTTATAATATAAGCACTATATACCGGCTCAAAGTGCCAATCTAATGCGGCCGTTGTAAAGGACTTTGACTGTATACTATATCTACAAGAACGACGATATTGATGATAACCAATTGCCAAGATATAGTTTAATAACTCTGATAGTGATACTATTGCCAAAAGTAACTGATATTGATCCAAATTTGAATGATATTTATGAAACAACAGAAAATTCATGTAATAAAATAGAACCACAATACTTCAATTGCCTCTATACTACTTTACTATCTCTACGAATTCAACTAATCAAAGTATAATTTCAATTAATCAAAGTATAATTTCAACTAATCAAAGTATAACTATTCCAATGAAAAAGGAAAAAATTAACATGCAATAAAAAACCAAAGACCAGTTATGTCATCGCTATCGTCATCATCAAGGGAATTTGTGCTCGAGAATCGATTTTGGGTTGAGAATCGATTCCTGTCCCTACCCATATCTTTCACAAATTGCATGTAAATATTTGACAATTCCTACCATATCAGTTCCATTTGAACGTCTATTTTCAGATGCGGGAAACTTAGTTATACATGAACGAAATCGATTAAATAGCCATTTGGTAGAACAAATCATGTTTATTAAAAGAAGCTGAGGATTTGTACAAATATTTCCTAATGCTAATAAATAAAAATTGATTAATAATAAATTTCTGAATTACCGTAAAGCGCTCTCTTTAGTATCCCATCTTGTAAAAATTAGAATCACAATTTAGTCCAATTTTCTTTAGTAAATCCAATTATTTTTTCCGCAAATAATTAAATTTAGATTTCACTATGCGATTTTTTAAAAAATTTAATTACTGGTTTAATAGCTTTGAGATTAAATTGAGGCTTAAATTTTCTAAATTTTCTACAAAGGGGTATACTCTACAGAGCGCTTTACGGTAGGTATTTCGATCCTTAGTAATAAAAATAATAGGATCTACTTGAGAAAATCGATTAATCGAATTTATTTAAAACGATTAAACGATTAATCGAATTATTAATCGATTCCTATTCCTAGTAGGACTGATGTCAGGATAAGTAAGAGAAATGCTCTCAAAAGTTTCATCGTTTGTTAGACAAGATATCAACGTTCCACCAAGGCCATCTAATAAAAGGCTGATTGTTAGAAATATAAACACTATGGTGCATAAAATCTAAAGTCATCAAACATTTGTATTTTATAAAATGGATAAACTTCTTTACTTAGAAGCAAATACAAAAATTAATCTGTGAATATGATAGAATAGGCCTTTTTTGAGCATATTCACGGATTAAATTTTGTATTTGCTTCTTAGTAAAGAAGTTTATCCATTTTATAAAATACAAACGTTTGATGACTTTAGATTTTATGCACCATATGATTCAAAATACCAGCTTATACATACCTTGTTGTCGGGGCTGATAGCCAAAGTTTATGTTGCGATTTGTATCTCAGTGCGCCCTTAGTCTAGTACACAGCATCGTGAGGTGATCAATCTGTTAAATAGAAAACAGAATAGCGAAGCTATCTTTGTTCAAGAGGTAAAATATCAGGAGCACTTACCAGTGATGGCAGTCAGTTGTACAAACGATATAGATGCTATCATCTGAAGATTATCTAGAAAAACCTCTCTAAACTTTCTTAGTTGAGAACGAATTCTTACCTCCGAATTCTTGTTTACTGTCAATTTCAGTATGAGACTTCTTTTCAAGTATTCCCCACTTCTCATTTTCTTCGCTGAGATCTTCAATCTTCCATAGCGGGGTTCAACTTTTTCGAAGGAATCCTGCTTATTACGCCATATAAGTTTCTTGAGATACCCAATAGTGAAATTGTCAATAGAGATTTCAAGATTATCAGTGATGTTTTTTTCGGCAATGTCAACCGGGAAGAGGATCAACTAGAACGATACAAAATAACGACATGTCGACGATATTTCTGCAAACGTGAAAATCCAAAATTAAAAACAAGGTTAAACATTAAATCTTCAGTAAAATATAAAATAAATATAACAAATAGACATTTTAGCTGTGTTGATCTAATAATAAAAAAATAGACAAAAACCAAGTATCCTAGCCACGGAAAAAAGTGTCGATCACGTAATTAAGATCCCCTAAAATCATGCACCAATCAAATCGCAAGCTCAATATTCTATTCCGAAATTTACTATGCTTAGGTATTCAATGCGTGCATTTATGTATCCCCCAACCCGATTTTGTTAGGATAAAAAACGGCCAATAAGAATGCATAAATTTTTGATCAACCCGGCAAAACAAACCGACACAAAAAAATGAAAAATGCGAGAAATGTGAAAAATACAAGAGAAAAATGTCTAAATCTGGTCCGGAGTACTAATAAAAAATGTCGAGAAGACAATTTTACATATAACCTGGATCACCATCCCTAACCGTAACCTAACCCTAACCTTAAAACCATTATTTAACCTTAATCTTTATTACAGTAGAAATTTCCGAAAATACGCAATGCTATTGGTTATTTTTGTTATTAGCAAATCGGGTGGGGTGTACATAGATGCATCCGGTATTCAATACTATTGTAATCGAACTGCATGGATACGAATGTGCTCTATACATATAAAAGAAAGAGCTATACCTTTCATTCTCGTTAACACTACTCAAGAATTTCACAAGAAAAATGACACAGGATAACAGACACATTACGCCTACAACATGCATTAATGTATTAAAGGAACCTTTTTTAAGCACAAATAGAAGTTAATGCCTATGAATTCTACATGTCGAAATGAGTCGATATATGGTGGTTTAAAAGCAATCATAAACGCAGATCTAAATAATAAAAGGCTTCTTTTAAAACTGGAATGCCAAAATGCCAACAATGAATGTCAATGTGTGTGTCGTTTTTTTCATACATAGTAATAAAACAATCAGTGCTTACTTAACTAACAATAGTTTACACACAATCGGTGCATTCGACTAGCACGTATATAAATCACCATTATCATCTTAGTATATAAAGGAAATAGCAGCGTTGCATATTACTAAGAAGCCTTTTTCAGAAATTACCCGAAAAAAGAAAATCATTTGTGCAGAGTAGTTCCAAAGAGTGTCCGAAATTAAAAAAAGAAAATAGTAACGTTATGTATATTATATTATTTGACATGTATATATAAAGAAACCTTTCCAGAGACGAAAAGGAGAACCAAAAGAAAAATTTCGTTCAAGAATTTAAAACGAAAATAACATACGATATTCAATTCCAAAGAAAATGTCATTTGCCTATTACATCAATCACATTTTACTTGCTTCGATTGTCTATTTCAATACTTTATTAGTTCTTTCAATTACCATTAAATCTGTTGAATCTGTAAGTGTTCCCAGTATTCCAACGTCAGTACCTTTGGATTTGACAACACCGCAAGATTACAATGCCTCAATCGACGCATTCTCGTCCCTCGCTACTATCATTCCATCAATATTCATTGTATTAACACTAAACAAAAAAGTTATCGACTATAAGCTGTTTCTGATACTCGATGATTGCCTCACATTTGGTTTATTCGGTGCGCTCCCCGCAATTTTAATTCTTGTAAATGGTGCGAGTATAATTTATATAATAATGCCGTCGGTGGGCGTGGGTTTTCTCATTACGTCGATGTATATCCATTATTGTATGGACTGTGGAGAACCGCGAAGATGTTGTATCAACTTCTTTTACATTATCTCAATTTCACTTTGTGCAAGCGCATGTCTTGTCATATTAATGGCAAAACAACTAATACGTGTACCTGATCTTAAAAATTTTACACCTACAAACTGTACCGACTTGTTGGATGGTGTTCGATGCAGGGGCTCATTATACTGCGCCATTATTTGTCTAGGTTGCTTAGTTTTCTTAGCAATTTCTCTCCTCATCAAATACATGTATTTTTCAGATTACCCCATACCCTATATGCTTTTTACTTCGGTATTGTTTATGGGTGCAATTTTATCTCTTTCATTGATTGTCGGTTGGTTTATTAGTAACAGTGTGTATGTAACAAAAATCACTATGGGCTTGGCTTCAATCGTGATTTCACGAATCATCTGGTACTTGCAACAACTTACTGATCAAAAAAACGATGGAAAAGTGCCTGTACCTGTATATTTTTCTATGTTTATTTTTAAATTTAAAGAGTCCGATTCAAGCAAGGGATCACCGAACGCTACGGAGCCCGGATCTTCGAGTCAGAATCGTGCATCCTCATAATTACTGTAACTAGTTCAGTATCCAGTTTTGCTTGATTTTAATGTATATATTTTAGCAGTGGGTTAAAAAAATAAAGATTACATACATTAGACCATTTTTCTAGCACTAGGTCATGTTGCATCAGTTCTTTTTACATTACATATTTATTGATAAATTATCACGTGTATTTGAACATCCACGCGATTAATATAAAATTACGTGACTACAATGCATACAACCTAGTCACATCAATAAAATTTTGATCAACTTTGAACCTTTTCACACTTTTACAAAATAGATGTATCCAAAAGAAAACTCTGCATAAATTTATAAAATAGCTCATCAGCTTCCAGTTTATAAAAGCTATTTCAGTTTGCTTAATTTTTCATAGAGTAATAAAGCTCTGTTCGGGTTTGAGAACAACCCGAACTGATAAATTTGGTTTGGGTTGGTTTAATCTGAAAATTTTAAAATAGTTTTTTGTTAATAACTTTTATTTTTACTAAGATACTTGTATTTTGTGTTTAAGTAAATTATTTGGAATATAATTGTATATATATTCACAAATTTTCATTTAATTTAAATTAATATTAAATGAGAAATAATGATTTTTAGACTGACCTAAAATATTTTGTGTCAGATTTGATTCCAACCTAATTTGATCTGAAGTGTGCAATTCAGATCAGATTACAAATTGAATTTAACCTAATTAAAGCATTATAAAGTAATAATTCAAAGTTTATTACTTTTTATATATTATTATTATTCCAGTTCTTTTAATAGTATTTCTATAACAGAAGATCTTTAAACAAATCTCTTCTTATAATTATAAGAAGAGTTAATAGGTCAAGTTAAATTTATTATTAAGAAGGTTATATGTTATAATTATAATTAAGTTCAAAATAGTTTTACTAACAAAGTTTCTTTATTATTATATTTTTTACTATTGCTATTTCAGTTGATATTTTACATATAAACTATAATATAAGAATAACAATATTATTAGATTATCACAAGTTTATAATCAAAACTATATCAAAATTCAAAGATAATTATAAGATAATTAATGATTGAACTTGTTATTTTCTAACTTTTATCTTAACTTGCTATAAAATTAATTATTATAAAAATCTCTATAATTTAAAATATCAATAATTCAAAATATCAAAAGTTCAATATCTTTAAAGATCAATAATTCAAATAATCAAAAATTCAAATAATTAAAAGTTCTAATAATTATTATTTCAAGATATTAAAAATTTAATATTTCTATTGATATATAATATATTATTACAAGTTTGTTTACTAATCATGAAATTAGCTTACAAATAAGAATCTGAATTGGGAGAAAATATAAACTAATAAAGAAAACATTAAGAGAAAAGAAAAATATCTAAGATCTATGTCAATTTCTATGAAAATTGTGTTTACTTGAAAAGAAATAATAATATAAAAGGATTGTAGGAGAATAAAAATCAAAGAGGAAAGAGAGAACAAAGAATAATAAAAGGAATTCAAAAGAGTAATTCTGTACTTGCATAAAGCTTTCTAGAACTAAAATAATATAATTAGTAATAACAATAACAAAGATTCTTTTCTTATAACATCAGAAAATTTTCGAGGGCGCAGTTTTGTGCAGATCTTCAGGTCCAAAAATCTGCGCAAAACTTCGAACCTGGCGACAATTGGTAAAAAAAAAATTTAAAAAATCTGCGCAGATCTGCAACAAAATGTAGGTCTGCGCAGATTTTTTAAATTTTTTTTAAAATTCTGCGCAAAACTTCGCAATGTC